AAAAATGCACATGGAATCTCCCTTTACTTAGCTCCTGAGGCCAATGAAAGCTTGGGGCTTCTCTTGAGCTGAAGATCTGAGGCTGCAAAGCAAAAGGATTGCTGAGAACAATTACAAAGAACCTGAGAAAGGAAGCTGAATACAATCTATGAAAGGAACATGAATACTACAATCAATTACAAGAAGGAATTCTCACAGGAATCCAGATTTGTTTTGGTGATAGTTTATTATAGAGGACCTCCTGTTTGTTTGAGAGGGGGGGGGGGGAGCCCCTATTTACTAATCAGGCGCCAACATTAATGCACATGCTTCCTGTAAATACTATGTCATGTTGTGTATGTGTGTGTTTGCTCTCGTGTTTGCCCTAAGGACTGGGAACGATATGGGATTGATGATCTTCAAGCACAAGCTTTTGAAATATCAAATCAACGTATCAGGCCAAGATCTGTTCCGTCTAATTAGTCATCACAGTCCTCCCACGTTAAAGCTGGCCGTGTTAAAATTCCAGGTGCTCATTACGGCTCATGAGTTTCTCCAAGCAAGCAGCTCATCAGCATGAATGGCAAAGCATCTGCAGGGATTTCGCAAATCTTTGGGACAAGATCGCGGGCCATCGTCAGTTGTCCTTCTCTCCTTTGCCCTGTGCACAGCTCATCATAATCCTCAAATGTCGCTTCACAAACGGTCAGTATGAGCAAGATTGAGTAACATAACATCGGAACAACAACAAACATTGGCGCTATTGGCATTGTCGCATTGGCATTGCCGACTGGTAATAGTCTGGTGCGTTGCAGAAAGAAAGCACCTTCACTGAAACGAAACTACCGTAGGATTTTGCATCATTTTGCACGGTGAGCTTTGAATCCTCTTTTTCAGCTGTGAGCCTGTGAGCTTTTTGGGGAGGCGGGGCAGTCAGCCTACAGTCTGCTACCCAGTCTCAGCTACATCAGAGACCAAGTCATAAAGCAGCCAGTGGCCTGCATAGGCAATACCCCAGAAGGCCGAAAGAATCACGGCGAGAAGCGCTGAACCTTCCGAAACGAAGAGGAAGAGGAACATGTAGCATCCATAGGCAATATTGTATACCACAAAGGTTCGATATTTCCCAAATCGATCGGCTGCGCATTTCCATGCAAAGGTCAAAGGAACTCTCACCACCATGTGTACCACAACACAGGCTGCAAATAGCATTCCAGGAGAGCCCAAAAGATCCGTTGCTGCAGTCTTTCCAACCACCCAGTCTATCACGTAGGGCAATACAATCAAAGGAAGGTTTGCTCCGAAGCCCTCACGTGAGGACCGACGATACTATCATGGTCTCACACCAAAGCGACAAACTGACAAACTTGTAGCATATGCATGCACTTCTTCAAGATCTACTGTACATACAAAGGAAAACACTTGCAAAACGGTTGCCAGAGTTGCTTCCACAATGTCCGACACCAGCAGGATCATGAAGGGATAGTTGCTGAAGCACCCAACAATTCCCGGAACCAGTGCTTCCGCTTGTCCTGGAATGTTCGTACTTGGCCGCTCCTTCACATCCCAGCACAAGAACAGGGTGGAAAGTGTAAATATCGCGCCAAAGGCAAGGGCAATCAGGAGATAGGAATAACAGCCCGTGCTCGGGCTTGAAGCACATTCGGACTCCCCAATGATTGGCACGACCATGCCCATCAAAATGCCCAAGCAAACAAACAATTCCCGCCAGGACCAAAGGGAGGTCCGTTCTTGGCCATTCTGAGTCAGGTCCACCAGCAAAGCACCATGTGGAATTTCAAAAATGGCATCTGCAAAGACCTTCACTGTAATATGAAATATCCCGTACCAAACCGCAGATGCCACTGAGTTGAACACTGGAGCATTGGCTGCGTTGCTTCCGTTCACTGCGAACCAGTTTTCGGCATCTTGTTGGGCTTGTGCTGAGAAACTCGCAGGCGGCGAGAAAGCCATCGCATATGAGAATGTCACAATAAAGCTGGAGACAAACAGGAAGGGCCGCCGGCGACCCCAGTCATGTCCAAAGATCTTGCGAGTGCTATCTGTCATGATGGCCACCAACGGGTCGATGATCAAGTCCAAAAGAGTGCTTAAGATCAAAAAGGTTGACATCACGCTGAGAGAAGCCCGAGGATAGTCATCTGTGTAGAACCTCGGGTGTCACAAAGAACCCAAATCCCCCACATGACTGACCATAGACACGTTGCAGTCACATTGCGGTAGTTGTACATAAATATACATAAATGTTTATCACGCAATCTTTAATTATAGTCTATTTGCCTAAACTGATGCTGTATGTCTTACAGTAATCACTTTCAAAATCTAGACAACTGAGAACTTGCTTGCGGGCAAATCAGAGAAATGAACAATGCAATGCATTATTCCAGCCAAGTTGCTTTTTCATGTATCCAGTTTTGGCATATCGCAAGGCGAAGAATCCAAAGATTGGAAAGGTAGACACGAACTTGCTGCGGCAGCTGACTCTTCCGTCTGGCGCTGCCATAGGATGCGACTCCTTGAAGCTGACCACATCGGCATTCTCCTGCGGAATGCATGGGGCTGGTGTCTGGAATTCGACCAGGCGTTTCAACACCTTGGCTTAAAATAGGATGAACAGAATAGCTACCAAGTCCGAGAATTCTCAAGTGCGACCTCTTGCATGTCATGATTGGAGATTGGCCAGATTTTCTGCACATGTCCAGGGTATCGGAGCGCATGCACTATGCCACTACAGAAAAGAATTGAAAGTGTACAGTGAGGTCTTCCGCTGCCAACCTTCTCGTCACGTTGATGCCTCAAAAGTCGGAACACTCAGTGATTAAGAATAGAGGAATGAAGCATGGTTTCCTACACCAGGAAATCTCACCAGAATGTTCTTATTAGCACTGGAGCTTTCAAACCACAATCAGCCTGCTTTGACTAGAGCAGCTTTAACTTCTGCTAAGCTTCATCTTTGCCCAGCTTCGCCAGTTCCGCCACGTCACCCTAACCCTGCACAAAAGACGGGCTTGAGCCGTGGAGGCTGCAGCCTGGCACTTAGAGTTCTGAAAGCTGCAAGTGGTTGTGCCGTGCATGCATACGCTGTTTACATCTGTGGCCTGGACAGCCGATTTAGTTAATCTATTTGCATCTTGCAGCTTGAAAGGGTGGAAAAGTTCACTCAAAGGTCATCATCACATGCTGAGCACCATGCCAGTTGCAGCATGGCGAAGCAAACAATGAAGAGAGCATAGCCACGTGCACATTCAAAGTGTGATGAAATCTCCTGTCTAACCGGAGAGATCTGGCAGGAGAGACAACTTGACTTGAGGCTGTCGACTCACTGTCAGCTTCCAAGCTTGAGATGAACCCCAAGAATGCTGCTTCACACTCGTCCGCCTCTGGCATCCACATCTCACACAAAACCTGACAAGACTGTACTGTATAGAGAGAGAGGGATGCGCACATAGAATGTAGAACAAAATGGACAGTCTAAATTCGCATCGGCAAACGCATTTCAAGGGCAACCAAGGCACCCGAACTCCAGAGAAAGCAAGGACTGCTGTGAAAATTGAAAGGGTGGTGCTAATGATGGTCCATGCATACAACCGGATGTCGTCATCTCGCCAGTTCCTGGGCAAACTCTCGAGCGTTTAAACAAAGAACGGCATTCTCCCAGGCAGATGAGTCAAATACTGGTTGCATTTACCAAATACTGTAATATTCTACTATCTGTCAAGAACTGGCGGAAGGTTGTGAACTGGGCCCAGTGGAAGCTTGCAAAGCTGCGTCATGCCATGTGCAGCCAAGCTGCACGACATAAAAAAGAAGCATCACAAATGCAACCGAGCCCAGAAGCATGCCTGAGCACTGTAGTTGACACCACAAAAATACAGTCGATTGCATCTCTCTCTGTCTCTCATGATCTTCGAGTGGGGAGGGCAATAACGTCCATACAGTACCGCTGAGCTTCAACAGAGGACCATCCCTGTGGAAGCTATAGAGTTAGAGTATGTGATTGACTTACTGTAGGCCAAAATTGCCCATGATAGTGACAGTCCACGTTCCAAAGAGCAGCAAGAAATAAAAAATGAAAGGGCATCCATGATTGACTGGGTGCATGTTGCTCAGCTGTTTGCTACCTTGGCTACACTAAATTAGCAAATCCACCTGGCTTAAAGCTGACTCTGCAACCACGAGGCATGCAATGCCCACATCTCGTTGCGGAGGTTTTCCCTCCTGGGCAGCGCTTGCTGCTTGTTCTGGCTATGGCCCACCCATCCACCCTCACTGATGAAAGTTAAAGGAAGATTAGATTGAAACCTGTGGGTCTTGCTTGTGACACACACACACACCTCCTTTGGCCAAGCTCAATGCTCAATCTAATTTTGACAATTGCAAAACGCTCCTAGCTCGTTTTTGATGAGACGCCTTCTCCGTGTGCAAGAAGTGCGAAGCAATTGCACCAATGACGTCCTGCAAACCCTCCTTTTCAGCTCCGGCATGCGATGTAGAATGTTGCCACGGAAAGCATGGTCAAGATATATAGAACATTATAAAACCATTGATGCAAAAATGGATGCATAATGATCGGTAATATGCATAATGATGCGTTATTATGCGTTTTCATAGGGTGCCGGCAGGGAACTACGGCCGACTACGGCTGGCTACGGCCGACTATGGCTGGCACAATGCGTATGTTTTCTTCATACAAAACTAAGACGTAAGAAGGTAGAAGGATCGCGTGGAGTCCAGGTCTCATCTCATCCAAAGGTCATTTTGTGGCGAAACTGCTCGTCCCACCGCAGGTCTTTTCCACCGGCAGTCCCGAACGGGATGGTCATCTCCTGCAAGGCAACACGACTGACTTGGGATCTTGACTGTTAGTGTAGAACTTTAACTCTCAAGACATCAAGAGGACCGGACTTACTTGGGAAAGGATAACAACGTCTATCAACCCATGCAAGGCACCACTGAAAGAATAGACTTCACACCCTCTTGCTTAGCCTTACTACTAAACAGTCAGTTTCTGGAAACAAACCCCAACTCATAGACTAAGCACTGTAAACCAGTCAATGTAGCTGATTGTCCTCCATGCTGCTGAGCCAGGACCTCAGGCACCTGGAGCGGCGACTTATATACAGTATTTCTTTGCGATCCGTATGTGGGTGTCTTGACCTACAAATATCGCTTCAAGGATTGGAGGGATGTGATCAATCAAAGAAGCCTTCTCATAAGCAGCTTGTTTGTTGATCTTCGTTGTGACGTGATGTCACTACTCTCAAGGTGGGTTTCGAAGAGAAGCAATGATCATCGGATGGAGATCTGCCTGCACCACGATCCAGGCGCACAGGAGCCACCTGAATGAAGCGCCACGAGAACGTCGATCCAGGCAGAACTTGGAGAGTCGCACAGAGGTGGTTGAAATCCTGTTCCAAGAACTGCTTCGGTGACGCAGCTGTGACCTCCAGGAACCCAGAGGACTACCCAGTGATTTCACGTGCCTGTTATCCGCTGCCCAGTGTTATTAGCGTGCCTTCGGATGATGGGGCTGGTTGGAGCGTTCCTTCGCGTTGGGGTGCTGGGAACTTGACTTGCCAAATTCAGCAGGCCTCCAAAGTTGCGAAGCTGCTGACATTGCGCAGCTGAAGGGTAATGTCTGTAAAAAGGACTTCTCAACCCATCTAGGCCTAATTGGTCTCTCTGGCCCAGAATACGCCAACAAAAAAGCCCTGACAAGTACAACATAGGAGAATGCAATTAGGTGTCGCAAAACCTGCATGAGCTGCATTGGAGCTCCCTGTGTTGCAATGAGTGTTGTATCTATATAATATATATATATGTGTGTGTGTGTGCGTGATGGATGTATAGTTCCTTTCGCCCAAAATGTGATGAATAGTCATGAAAAATAGAACACCTGGTGGTACTGCACCACAGGAAACAATTGTTGTCCTTGTCATTGTGACCAAAGGTGCTACAAGGCTGCTCCAAGAATTCGTACGACAAGCAAGCATGATCAGCGTTTTTTGTTATCATCTTTTCTTAGTCTCCTTGTGCTTCGCATCATTGGACAGAATCTGGAGAAGCCATACAACAAAGTCCGTTGATCGGTGGTGTCAACTTGATGACCCTCTCACACATGCCCATCGTTCTCTCTCTCTCTCTCTGTCTCTCTTTCTACAGCTATCAGCAGCTATCACCCCTTGTTCCTGTCACGCACTCTTTTCCTTCTTGCAGAAGGAAACCGGACGGAGTACGCAAAAGAGGGCCTTTAGTCCAGACTGAGAGTACCGTGCTTGATTGGACATCATCTTTTGCAAGAATTGACCTAGGGGGCACCCAACTGATACAGTAAATACTTCTGGTGAAGGGCAACTTGTACTGCACCCACTCACGCACCAATCAAACCCAAAATGAACAATGGTTATGCAAACATGTTTGGTGACGGTGCATGGAAACAAATCCTGACAAGTCTCTACGGGAAAGCAGCTTGGGATACAGCTAGGCAGCTAAACACTCGCAACCCTTCACAGCTAATGCTGTCTGCCATCCAAAACGTCTGTCAATTGCTCTGGACATCTCTGGACTTGTTCATTTGGCACTTGATGGCCATCGACCCGACCGTAGCGCAAAAAGAAATTCAAATCACAGATGTCCTGCACCAAATGTGCAGGCTCCGCGGTGGGGACAGTGAGTGTCAAACAGTCAAGCCACTAGGCCTTAAAAAGGCTGGAGTACATGCATCAAATTGGATTGGCATCAAATTGGATTGTCGCTCACTGCCAATCTAAACTCAGCAGCTTCAGGGAGGTCAGTGACGTGGGTGCAAAAGCTGCAACTCAACCATCAATGCCTGGAAACGCTGAGCGAACTTAAACACGTCCTGCGACTTACAGTGGGGCAAAATATATGAATCCCCACTATAACTATACTGTCTGGTGCTTGCAATTAAGTAATGTAAGTTTCAGCTTCTGTGTCTGCGATGGGGTTAAGGGAAACTCCCACCTCTTGTTTTGGTGTGATCTTGCAAAGCTCACCTATGCCATGTCCTACATGAATCTAAATAAATGCCTGCCATCTATGTCTCCCAGGCACAGTCGTGCTGCTTCATCTTGTTGAAGTCAAAGTCATAGAGAGTGCAGGCATCTGTTGCCGATGCATCCTTGGCAGCAGCAAATTAGACCCCTGCAATTCAAGCATCTGCAAGTTACAACAGTGCAAAGCTACTCTCGTTCTGGGCCTCAGGCTTTCATCGTCACCAATCCTCAGAAAGGGCCAAGCAAACTGGCTCTTTTCACAGACTTCCAGCGCGCTTCAAATAACTCTATATATGCTCTGCATGCAGCTGCTTTTCTGTTCACAAATTGATCCACAGTCGACCGATCTGGGAAGACGATGTCACCCAACCTGCAGATTGCATCGCACGTGCTTCTCAAGAATCCAACATGTCTGCAATCACACCAATGTCCATACCCGTCGCGTGGGAGGGCACTGTGATTTTACAGCAATCTGGGCACACTGCTTCATGCTTTTACCTACAAGTAACATGAATGAGGGAATTGTTATTGACATCCAAAAAAATGTCACTGCATTTAGAAAGCTGTGCTCCAGAACACTTGATTTCTGGGCAAGAAGCAAGCGATTCTTGTGCTGCAAAATCTGTTTCAGGTCTGCAGTAGTGTTCCGAGCATGGCCAGAAGGATACATCACCTGCAGCAAGTCTTGCGAATTAGAGGCTACACCCAACCACATAGAACTTATATAAATGATTTTAACTTAACTAGTAGTTTAGTTGGTAGGTGCAGAACCTTCAACGGGGAAGTATATATATTATATATATACCACATATCTCTCTCCATCCCCCTCTCCATGAGATTAGCCAGAGGCAAAGGCGAGCCATGAAGAGTTTTTGAAGGCGTAAAGTACACTTCTAAACCTCGCCCCCAAAAAGGCAAGGTCGTGCGCCTGAGCAGTTGAAAACAGCCGACTCCAGTTTCGCTCTGCAGGCCCGGAGGCTTGCGGATAGATAGATAGACAGAAAGATAAGATAAGATAAGATAAGCAGATAAATATATATAGATATATAGATAGATAGATAGATAGATAGATAAATAGATACCCAACTTCAATTTACCCCAAGGGGTCAAGGCCCCACAATGAGTGATGCGCAACCTAGCCACATTCTTGAGTC